ATACTAGAAGATTTCCCAGGGTATTTGTGCTCATTCAGGACCTAAGGGAAGAATTTCCTCTTTTTTTTCTCTATTTTTGCGCTCCTTTTGCACTCCTTCCTTTCGCCATGCAAATTACATTTTATGCACGAAATTAGTTACCAAAAGGCAGCAGCTCTGCTCTGCTCCACTCTGCTCTGGAAACGAAATAAAATGGTCGAAAAATGTTAAAAGCCATGAAACGAGTTTTGTGCAGACATGCATGGAATTTCGTTTTTGCACTCCGAGGATCCAAAGAGCTCTGAATGGAGCGGGTATGGGAAGGGTAGTGGAGCTGCGGCAGATGGCAGCGCACTAAATATATATTTTTGCAAATATATTCCACATGTTTTTAGTAGTCCCCAAAAAGTAAAGCATACGCTTGGGGGGGCCACTGCACTGACATCGATACAGAGTGGAAAACAAACCGAAAATGGGAGCTCGGCATTGGAGGGTGGGAGCATGGCGTGGAAAATTACAGCGATGACATGAACGATGGACATTAGACGCTGAAAGGACCCAGCATAGAGTAATTTGGTTGTGGGGGCTGGTAGCTGGCTTATTGCGGGAATACCAATTAAAATGACACCAATCGTTTTGGGAAAACAGCCAAACATCAATATGGAAATTTTAATGGACAAAAAACTTTTAGGGAAATGTGTAGAAATTTAAGATTTCTATTTTTGAAGTGTCGAAAATGAAGAGGAAAACTGCCTGGACAATAACTAATTTTCCATGTTGTTCCTTTATTTTATTTTATGCTGAAAATAATCGTTCCTTTCTGTTCAACTAAATTTCAAAGACTTCTTTAACTAAAGAGTTTCCTCTGCTTTCTTTTAAATCTCAAAGTACCTTGCAAAGTACTAGTTTATTTTATTTGACCACTCAAATTCTCAATTGGACTCTAGATCTTTGCTTTTCTTCTCCCATTTTCCTCACAAAACCATAAGCTCGCAAACCTCTTGCGTAAAGCTGCCTGACTGTCCGCCCTTTGAGGCTTCTGTTCCCAATGCAATTGAAATATATTACGCATTTTATCTCTCTACTAATGACGCCTTTTCTTGCATTTGGCAAAAAAGAAAACCTTTCAAATGTCATTCCGTTTTTCGATTTTCAATTGATTTTCTTTTTGGGGTTTTTCTTTCGATTTCTTTCGGGTTTTTTTCTTCGATTTCTTTCGGGTTTCCTTGACTTTTTTTCGACGTTTTTTCTTCGATTTCTTATGGCTATAAATTCCCATTCCAATTGTTCTGCTCTTCAGTTATTTCCACTGCTTATGACGTCTGTTGCGGAATTTTTCGGTGTGTGTGCCAGAAAAGCGTTTACTTTCCTCTTTTTTTCGACAGTTTCGCCAGGAAATTTATGCGCCATTTTCTGCAGGAACCAAAAAATGTCGGTGGTAGGAAAAAACGCAGAGAGAGAGAGCGGAGAACTTTTCCATAGCATTTTTTTTTGGCAGCGGTTTTTCAATCGGATTTTAAAGGGGGTACAGGAAGCACGTGGTAATCTTTAAGCCTTGAAAATAATTTGTTTAATTGATGAAATGCATGCAGCCAGTGTGCAAATCTCAGTTGTATTTAAAATTGCATAAAAGGAAGGAAACTATTGAATGGGTAAACGCGATGAATACTTTGCTGAGAGTTGTTGAATGATTTTAATCATTGATTGTTCGTAGTCTGCAATCGGAAATGAGTTTTTCCGTTTAGTTTAGCAATCTCCAATGGTGTTAAAAATCTATTTGAAATATTAATTAAACGTTTTAGTGCCTTGTAAACAATTGATTGAATATCGAATCAGCACTTCCATTTGTGGCCCGTTTCCCTGCTGCATTGAATGCGATAGGAACTGCATAAATGTAATATAATAATAGTCTCTGTCTATTCATCGATTTCACCTAGTAGTACAGTGGCATGCCCTCGAGGGCAACCATCCATCCATGCCCAACCCCTTGCCCATATCCATGCCCATGCCCACTTCCATCCATGATATGGGCAATCGTTATTGATTTTCCCACCTAACCACCTTACAGGGTAGTGTCTGTCGTTCCTATGCCCATTCCCATTGCTCCTCACCCCCATTACCTGTCCCCCAACCATCGCTGCATATTGAGAGACAATTTATGAGCTTTATGTGTCACTTCTGATGCCACTTTCACTGGCTTTTTTCACCCACACAAACATACAGCAAACACACACCAAGTACACGTATACATGTATACACCTTTATGTATGTATGAAAGAGAGGTGTAAGGGTAAAGACAGTCACGTCACGCATACTTTGAGGCGAGCCCCTGACGACGACAAGCCAAACCTCCTCCGCCTCCAGACAAACGACCCTCACGACGCTCGAATGGAACGGAACGACGGAATGGACGTCTCAGTTACAGGGGGACAAAAAAAAACATTTGTTCCCTGCCCCTTGTCCCTCTCTATTCCGCTCACTCACACCATGCTCTCTCTCCCTTTCGGACTCTCTCATATCTGGGCATATCTAAACGGTAATTGCTTGCCAGGGTGTAGTTGCGTTTTATGACCAAGACAGCTGTTTTTTTCTTAGAATACCCAATAAGTCCTTTGAGCAAGGGATATATGAACAATTGCGGTTTGATATGATAGAAGATAATATGAACCTTTTTTTTAAATGTAAATATTAATTCAAGGTTTAGTCATATTTGGCATAAGGATAAATTAAATGTTCGATCTTTAGCTGTTTTAAATTGTAATTATGGAACTTGTACGCTCCTCAATAGCTACCGTTTACATCTTCCTTTACATTTGATGTACTAAAATAAATATTTTTGACACCTTATGATCATTAAGAAATTTAACATGATTATCTAAGAGTACGTAGAGACCTATCCTATCCTACAATTGAAGGCCATTTTTCTATAACCATTTACAAAAAAGTCTGTGGATTTTTCCACAATAGTTCTTAGTAAAGGGTATTTGAACTCTGTACAAAAGAGCTCTTTCATGTTAGCTTGGCATTTATTTCGCCGCTTTTGGCAGCGTTATATCATAGAAGCACACACATTTCACTGTGCTTTATAGCTTTATTCGAATTTAAAAATCGCGCTGAAAAGCTGAAAAAATTAGTTAATCTTTTAGGCTTTTCGCTCGTTTCGTTTCGACTCTGCACTGGATCCTGCTCTGGACCCTCCTCCGGGCCCTCTTTGTTTTGCAATCAAATCAAGCACCAGAGAGAGAGCGAACTCTGCCTGCAAATTGATATTATTAAATTTGATGCCGAAGCAAAAAGGCAGAATGCAAAAGTCTGATGGAAAAATATTTGTGCTGTGCTCCTATTCTTTTTGTTTTCCTATTTTGCACAATTTTTGGCCTTTGCTTTTTGCCAGATAATGAAATTAAACTACCAAATCTGCTGTGCGCCCCTTTTGGCTGTTGTCGCTTTAAGGAGGATGAAAAGTTTGCCAAACACAAACATAAATGGTAGAAATGGCTGAAAAAAAGGGAGATTTGGAATGGAATTGGAATGGGAGTAATGTGTGAAAGAAATGAGTTTTTGGGCATGGTTATGAGATGGAAATGGTTTTTTGAAATGAGCAAACCTTTATTTTGATAACAAAAATGGAAATCTGTGCAAAATTCTGAAGAGAAATAGGAGTGAGAATGGGTGTTTAATGCTTTTAAAAATATAGGGAGTTGCTTAGCATAGATTTGGTATAAAGATTTCCCTGCTCCCATAAAGTTTTTTGTAGCAAAACTTTCCCAAGAAAATAATTCCTATTCCCAACATATTTAAACCGAACCCTTTCCTTTAGCAAACATCTCTTTCAACTGTCTGTCTGTCGCTTCCCTACAAAATAAATAACATTATTTATTGCCGCACTCGGACACGCCCAATTAGTTTTGATATATGCGCCATATAGAAGTCAAACAGACATGACACTGCTATTCATTCTTGCCCAAGTCTAAGCAGCTTAGACATGCAATTTCATGGCCAGGACGAACGACTCCTCTTGAGTGTTTTTTGTAGGAGTGGATTGCACGTTCCTAGCACATCTTTTGTCATTTTAATTGAAAATTGTAGCCGTTTGTTGGAAAACACTCGAAAGTGGTCTGTCGTTCTTTGACGCCTTTTGCTGTTCTGGCGGCCACTTGGCAAGCATAGCCTTTGTGGATTGTCTGCTGAATTCATTCATTGTTTGCCTTTGTCTGGGATTTTACTTTCTTTTGGATTTACATTGTTGAATTGTTTGCCAGTTGATTTGGCATTTGTTTGGACAGCTCATTTCATTGCTTCAATCTGCATTCACTTTTACAATTTGTGCTTCCTGTCATCAATCAATATTTTACAGGAAATCTTCTTCAATGACTTTTACGTTATGTGAAAGAATTTTCCCTTTTCTCTCTTTGCAATTGGGAAAAGATTTTCTCTTTCCTCAGTGCACATTTTGGGCCAGATTTTCCTTTCTGCTTTAATTCCCTCAATCATTTTCGCACTTGACTGGACTTTTGGCATACGACCATAAATTATATAAGATGTATCTGGAGCAATTTTAAGCTTCGACTTGCATAAATTATCTCCTCCATTAAGGGATCGCAATGTAAATTAAGTATACGCCGTGTTGTTAACGTTAACAGCTTCTCTTCTGTTTGTGCCTGTGGCTGTGCCCCTGCTGGTGCGCTGCGCTGCTGTTTTCTCGTTGCATATTGCTGCGGCAATTAGCGTTTTGCCAGCCAGCAATGAATCATCTTTTGTGCTTATTTATGTGCAAAAAAAAAGGGGGACAGAGATGAAGGGAGAGGGAGAGAACCATAAACAATTTGTCTGCAAAGTTGTTGAACTTTAAAATGGGTTTGTTTGAGATTTAAATATGTTTTCTTCATGTGGAAAATTGTGAGGCATTTGTAGCATTTTTCTGCACACGAAATGAAAGATTTTTTGTTTTATTTTCCAAGTTAAATGCTTTAATAAACCATCAAGTAAACCCCACATCTCCCCTTCTATATCCCTCCCAGAATTCGCAATAGTCGCGGCTCTCTAGATAGCATTGGAACCGCCGCAAACGGCAGCTCTGCGGCCAGTCAGGCCAGCTCCAGCGGCGGCTCCACCACCCACAGCAGCAACAGCAACAGCAACAGCACCACAGCCAATCACAACAACAACCACATCAACAACAACAACAGCGGTGGTAAAATGGATGGCAGTCCACACCATCGTCCGGGATCACGCAATGGCAGGGATAACTGGAGCAAAATGCCAGAGCCCCTCAATGGGCAAAAGGGTGACAAATCGTCGGAGAAATCATCGCCATCGCGTCGGAGCATGGGCGGAGGGAGCGGCGGATCCTCCAAGCAGGGATCGCCTTCGTCTTCGTCGCGAACTAAAGGAGTGCCGCCAAGTTTTGGCTATGTAAAGAGAGCCAATGGCAGCATGTCGTCCACCGCAGAACAGCAGAATATTGTCATGATGATGGCAGCCGGAGGAGGACAAGCGCAACAGGTCAATGGCTTGCCCTGCGGCAGGACCGCCCATGTGTCGGCAGTGCCAAGGACAGCAAATGGACGAAAGATTGCGCCCGGCACACAAACATTGCCCAATGATATGAACAGTGAGTGCAGCCTGAAGGAAACTTTGAATACATAGATATTAATTCCGTTTTCCTTAGCAGAGCTAACACCGAATACCCAATGTCGCAGCTTCTCATTGACAGGACCGACAGCAGCGCAGTTGAGTCAATCGATACGCGAACGTTTGGCCACAGGATCGCATAGTTTGCCAAAACCAGGCAGCGACATGCATGTCTTTCAGCATAGGTAAGTATGGCTAAAATATTTCCCATAAATATTATTACTAAACCTTTCTCTTTCGCCCCCGAAGAATGTCCAATCGCCCGGGCACACGACACGATGGTTCCCTCTCCGATACGCAGACCTATGCGGAAGTCAAGCCCGAATACAGTTCGTATGCCATGTGGCTGAAGCATAGCAATACCGCGGGTTCACGTCTCTCTGATGGCGATGCCATTGAGCAGCTGCAAATTGGATCGCCAGCGATGACCCGCCATGGGCACAAGATGATACACAATCGATCGGCGGGTGGCCTCCCCCCCGGTGGACAAATGCAACCCATGCAGGGCAATGAGTCGCCCTATGTGCAGAGTCCCCGCATGAATCGGAGTAATAGCATCAGGTGGGTTTTTTTTTCGTGACTCGACCTTTTTCCCTGCACGTTTTACCTTGTGTATCTCTCTTTTTTCTCTCTATTTTTACCCAATATTTCTCTGAATTTGTATCCAATTTGTCTCAAAATATTTCTCAACTTGTTCTCTGTACTTGCCTCCATTTTCTCTGTATACTTTTCCTCCTTTTTTCTCTATTTATTTCCCGTTTGTTGTTTGTTTTTCCCTTCGACAGCTACTTGCAAGAAAGGACATATCCAAGGTGACCAGAAAAGTGGTTTTCTCTCGCACTTTTTTCGCACATTTCATTTCTCACAGGAATTCAAGTTTCACATTTTTTTGTTTGCTTTTGCCACGCCCAAAAACGTATCGAAAACAATCAGCAGCCAGCCTCCATCCTCAGCTTGTTGCCACTTTTTATGGCGTTCGCAATTTGCATTTTACATGTTGCATACTTGATAACAAAGTGCTGCCGCCACACATACACACGGGGCAGGCGGGAGTCGTGTTTCGTGCATGTCTGGGAGTCTGTTGCACTTGTCGCAGAAGTCTTTCCGTCTCCCAGGCATTAGACGACGAGTGTTCATTATGTACTTGGGAAATGGAGGATGTTCCTACCGAGGAGTAGAAGATGTTCGAAGAAAAAGTAGAAGGCTATAAGCAAAGGAATGAATGATGTATGGAGAAAAAAGTTCTAGGATGCATCGATATGGTGTTGTGGGTGGTTAACTTCTTCCTTTGGCTATGGTATAAATATGTTCGATATTTGTAACAGTTTTGATAGAGTATTTGGTAAAGAACTAGCATTGTAATTGGTAAAAGTTTGCTAACTCTTGGTAAATCATCTGTTCCCGGTTCCGGTTTAAATTACCTGAAAATCATTTTAATTTGATTAAAAACCACAAACTTTTCCATTCGAAAACCCCCCAAAAGGTATTATAAACTTACCATCACTAATCTGCATAAGCCGCTTAACTCCACTTTGCATACGGGTAAAACCTTTTCTAAATTGTTTTGCCAGTCAGGGAGGGTCCTGTGTGTCTTTGCTTGCTGCATATTTGATAGATTTCCGTACACATTTTTCTCCATATTTTTCACGTGCGCTCGTTTGCCTTACTGCCTGCCTCTGTGTGTTTTCCCGCCTTCAAGTATGCAAACAGTTTTCTTTTTTGGTATCCCCGTACATACATTTTTCCACGCGTCGGGTTAAATGCCAACCCAAACACCCAAGTCACCTTTTGGGGGTCGGCCGCCATATGCTTGTTTGCTCATGTGTCGCTCGCTGTTCTTGTGCATATTTTAAAGTTTTCACTTAAAATCGTTCATCGCACACGAGGGAGGAAGAGGAGGTGGAGGAGGAGGAGCCGGCAGCCGAGACACGCCCATATAGTTAAAGCGAAAAGTTCTCAGGTTTCGCAGACAAGGTGAAAGTTCTTTGGGGCTGCGAAAAAAACACAAGTGTGGGGCCGAAAAAAAGGGAAAAAACAGAGAAAATGGCAAATGGCAAACTTGGAAAAAAACGGGTTTTTGGAACTGTAGCAGGAGGTGTTGTGGATGGGTGGCCAGATTATTATTTGACATGTCAATAGGTTTGCTGAACCTTTGACTTGAACGGAGTTCCACTTCTTCTCTGCTGCAACTCCCTTTTTTTTGTTTCTTTTTTGGCTGCGGCTCCTAGTGGTCCTTCGACCTGCCAATGCAGTTGGGTGTCGACCAAAAGTCAAGTGCTTCATTAAAAACTGTTCCACAGAAACTGTTCCAACCATCTCGGCAGCGAAGAGGATTAAATTTGAAAAATATTCGGTGGAAAAATGAAGTTTATTATTAATTTGGGTCTGTAGAGAGGGGCCTTTTATATCAGAGATAAATGGGTAATAGATTTTCAATGAAATTTCAAAAGCATATGCAGAACAATCCATATTCAGTAGAGCTTTTTTCTATCAAATGTTTTGCAGATATTTTTATTTTTTTTTATTGTTTTAAATTCAAAACTGCAAGCAAAAAACTTTAAATGTTAGTTCTGTTTTTGATACATAAATATAAGAGCAATGCAGCTCAATATAATTGTTTAATTAAATAACAAAAATATTTCTATACAACATTGAACAAATGCTAGTGCCACAGCATTGTAGCATCCACTATTTGCTTTGCAAGTTCCGCAGCTTCTATTGCAACATAAATCATGTATTAGTTGCCAGTAAGTCTCACTTCTAAATCTATCAGAAATACGAGTGCACTGCTAAGCCCTGCCCAAAAAGGGAAACCTAAGCCGATGCTGTGTCCTGTGTGTACTATGGCGCCTCTTCCTAGTTCCGTTTTCCTTCCGAAACAAATCTGATTTCGTTGTTACATTGCTTCTATCAAAAAGAGAGAGCTTTCCCCCTCCCAGAGAGAAACACAGACTCTTGCTTTCAATGGTCTCTGCCACACACACATCAATTATGCAAACGGAAGTGTGAGAAAAAGTTGTCCAGTGGGGGGAACGAGTCCCTCCACAAAAACCAGTTTGGTGGCTTGTTATCAAATTTTACAGTCGAAACCCACACACACACACACAATAGTGTGGTATGTGGCGGCCTCAGAGGAAAACCGACACAAGTCTCACCAGTGAAATGCAAACATGGCAGCCGAGAGATACAGTTACACATGACAGAAAAGGGGGAGACACACATGGCGTATACGTAATATTAGATTTGCATGCAAAATGCCATTAAAGTCATAGAGTTATCAGAGCAGAGAAACATGGTAGGAGAAGGGACAGTGCGCACAGGGCAGGAATTGAGTGGACAATGAAGCAAAGAAGGAACAGGGCAGGCAGGCGGGGGAGTGGACAGCACAGTAGGACTTCTTGGCTTCTTCTCCCTTCCCTTATTCCTTATCCTACGTACCCAGTCCATCAGCAGAGCTTTCGGCTCTGAGTGTGGCTGGAAAATCTCTGCATTTTATGACAATTTGTCTAGGGAGCCTGCACGCAATGTGCTTTCCCCCCCTCAAACCCTTATCATAGCCATAGCACACACACTCTTTTCAGTGAATTTGTAACAGAATTAAACGGAAATGGAGGTGGTTCTGTGTTTACACACGTGACTGTTTGAGTGTGTGTTTGTGGCTGAACAGCCCAAAAGTATTCAACATTCAGCAGTGTACGGGGGCCCAGAGATTGGCCTAATAAACTGTAGAACCGCAAACGGAAATTTGCAAGTGTCTGGCGCCCCGAACTCCATTTGGAAAATTTGAACAAATAGAGATGGAAATCAGTAAATCAGTGATGCTTTATGGGAGGCACTGTTTGTATTTTGAGTGGAAGGTAGTGGGGTTTTGGGCTGGAACATTTGATGCTTTTCTTTACTTTTGATAAAAGTATTTCGAATGAGCGTCAAGAAATGGATTGGATTGCCTGCTGTTTCTTTTGAGTATTACATATTGGTAGTTGCATCTTTAGTCTTTTTCTTCACATAATTTCAATCATTTTTCACCTACACTTTCTTTTAACTCTCACCTCTTTCATCCCTTATTTTTGCCATTTTAATCACTTTGAAATTGCATCTCGGCAACACTCTCATAACTGCAAATGCATTTCCCGTTTGTCAATCACCGAAAACATCGTCTATACATGCCATGCCCCCGAAAATAGCTGTCAAATTACGAGCTGGCACACGAGACTAATGAGATTCCATTGCAGATCCACAAAATCGGAGAAAATGTACCCCTCGATGCTGAGCCGCGGCGGGGATGTGGAAATCGAGCCATACTACTGCCTGCCGGTGGGCACCAACGGCGTGTTGAGCGCCCAAATGGCAGCTGCTGTGGCGGCACAGGCACAGGCTCAAGCGCAGGTCCAGGCCCAGGCACAGGCACAAGCCACGCAGGCAAATTCCGGCAACAATGTGGTGGGAGGTTCCGTGGCCTGGAGCCAGCCCACATCGCCCACGCCCCTCAATCGTGGCCCCTTTGCGGCGTCAGTAGCAGCGGCGGCAGCAGCTGCTGCTGCAGGGGTTCTATCACCCACTCATGGAGCCACCGCAGGAGCCACTGGAATGGTTGGTGGCATGGGCATGGGACCTGGCGCTGGATCCGGTCTAACTGGCGGACATCGCCTCACCTATCCCAAGAAGAATGATGACGGTAAGAGAATGATGCTGCCGTCGGGGCATTAAATGCAGATTAATGTAACATTTCTCTATATCCTCGCAGTGCACGGCAGTGCCGCATCGCTGCTGTCGGGCGGCAGTTCCCTTTATGGTTCCGCTGAGGAGCGGCAGGCCCACGAGATACGAAGATTGAAGCGCGAACTGCAGGATGCACGGGACCAGGTGCTCAGCCTAAGCAGCCAGCTGTCAACCAATGTGAGTACTCTAACGAAATGGAAATGGAAATGGATATGTGGATGGGATGGGGTTTATGGGAAGGGCAATGCCTTGAGGCTTAAGCTCTTTCTCTGCGTGAATTATGAGTGCATTCTGCGTGTGTGTGAATCCTTCTGCTTGGCCGCCCTTGAATTCCGTGAATATGCGTCGCAAAGTTTTCGCTTTCACATCAGTTGGAAGATTTAGCCACAGATTCCTTTCATATATCAAAAGAGTGTTTAGAAGTTGCAAGGTTGCTGTTTTCGAAGAGGGCTTTCAAGTGATAAATTCTTCAGTTGAAATGATTCTTTATTCAGAGTAGTTTAGTTTGCATACATGGGGAGTGTCATTGTCTAATAGAACTGCTATACTGTTTTGTGAAGAGACCTTGATTTATTTTATTTTATTTCATGGTTATTATTGTTCAATGTCTCGTTTATTTGTGGTCGTAAATACCTGTCGTGTCGGTGCACTTTTAAAACAATTAGAATTGGATATTTTATATACATAATTAGACCTTCAGCTGATTAGATTCCTTTTGATTCATTACAAGTCAATTACAATTTGGTTATAAAACTATATAAATGTTTCACCTTTGACAACCGAATTCTTGCCTTTTAATTTGTGAAATTGCCCAAAACGTTTTAAGAAAATAATTCGAACTTCGACTTTATTTTGTTTCCGTGAATTTAATGTTTTCAATTCATGTGAAGTCATGAGAAGAGAGATTTCATAGAACTGTTTAAAAGGTTATAAAAGGTACATGATTATTTACTTATTACTATACTTATTCCATATTACTAATTCGAAGGTGAATCATATTATATTCTCTGCAAAAATTAGAAAAGGAGAAACAACTAGCATATTTCCATTGAATTATTCTCTGATTCTTCCACCCTTTTATTTTTTTAAAAAGACTTGAAGGAATACACATTTTCCACAGTTTTTCTTAGATCTTACATATGTATATATATTTTTTCTCGTCCAAAAGTATGCTCTGTAATTTCCAAATGAAAATGCACTTTAAAGCTTACAATTGTCATGCAAATAAGAAGCCTATTAGAATGAGGCTCTGCTCCCACATCTTGCAATAGCTCCCCCACGAACAGCATCATCATCAGCCTAGAGTCCATTAATTCAAGTGGTTATTCCGCGGACATTTGTGGCACAATTTATTAGGTGGCGAGCAACCAAGAGTACCTTAAGAAGTGCTGCTTTTTTTGTGCAGTACCTCCGTGCCTCAGATCTGATGGCGTGCCAAAAAGTCTTGGTGGAAACTGCTTTGAGAGATTCATTCATTCGCTTCGCTTATCAAGGAAGTCGTCAGCATGCATTCAAACTTTTCAGCTTTTTCCGCCAAGTTGCCTCCTGTCATATCCCATTTCTAGAGAATGGCTCCTTGGGAGCATCTACGTGTGTGTGTGTGTGTGTGTTGTCAACAAGAGTCACGCGGGTGTGGGGAATTGGAGAAATGTCTGATAAACTTCCGCGGCAGACAAAAGTACACGAGGGGGCGTAGCACACGGCACACAACTTTTGCCTACTTTTGGGTGACATTTTACGCTCATGTGTGGACAGGAACAGAGCCGCCCCACGGCAGTAGATTTCATTTAAGAAAAATTTACTTTGTGAAACAATTTTCATCACAAAATAAAACAAAGTTTGAATTGCATTCCAGTCGAATGGGTGGGGTGGTGGGGGCGCTGCTCAGCTGTATTATGGTATTTTAGGGTCTGTCTACAATGTTGAATGGCCATCAAGTATTTTATGGCCAGAGAGTTCCTCGGCAGAGTCTCTCGCACCACCCACCCACACCTTTCACCATCAAATTTATCGAGGCCAGACAGGCAGACGGTATAAATCTTTTATGTATTTCTCACTGCCACACCACCAGTCCCCCTATCTTTGCTCCCCCCCGCCATTTCTCCACCCACCTGATGGTTAGGTGTGAGAAAGTCTGGTCCCAAGGTCAAGCCATCGAGGTACGTGCCAATTGCCAGCAAATCAACCTGATGGACACATGGATGGATGGAATTTCGATGGAAAACTTTAAGCCGATTGAAAGTTTTTGTTCAAACTTTTACCAATTTCCTAGTGCACTCAACTGTGTTGCAGGCAGGGTCATTCAGTCATTCTTTCATTCATTCATTGCACTTGTGAAGAGTTTCGTGTCATTTTTTGCCAGCTATTTTTCCAAACGAACAGAATGGGAACTAACTTTCCGAAGCCATAAAAGTGCACAACAACAACAGAAGTCGTCGTAAGTAGTCGAGCAAACGGTGGAATAATTGCAATGAAGTTATGTCTGTTCAGAATTCTTTTTCCATTCTTTTGCTTTTGACCTTTGAGTATTATATATGATTCTTTCTCTGAGTCTTCCCCTGACTCTTTCTCCAAGTCTTTCCTTGTTTCTTTCACAGAGTCTTTCCCTGACTCAACTCTGCCTCTAACGCTGGTTCTATCGCTGTTTGAGCAAAGACCATCCATGATGTGGTGTGGTCTGGCTCCGGTTCGAGGTTCGAGGCTGTGGATTACTGGCGTATAAGGTGGTTTTCCATTGCTGGAAAATGGGTCGCCATGAACATGATTTATCTGTGTGTGTGGGCTGCCAGTCCCAGTCGCATAATGCGGAAACTTGAAGTGGAAAAGTAGGTAGTAACTGTTGCGTTTTTNGGAAAGAGTGTGTTTATCTTTTTTTTTTTTTTTTTCTCTCCTCTTTTTCTTTTTTCATAAATATATCGCCTCAAATTCTGCTTCCCCCCTCCCCCCCCCCCCCCCCCCCCCCCCCCCCTCCCCACCAAACCTAACAAATAAAAACTTTAAAATGTTTCAGAAGTTTTTCTTTTGTGTGTTATTTTTATAACTACACTTTTTGGCTTCTTTTGTTGTGGCAATTCGGGAAAAGGAATTCGCTTCTTCTCCTTCGTCTCTTTGGACTATAAAACTTTTTAATTGCCCATTGACTTTGATGTCGATTTTCTTTTCTTGTCATTTTCCCTTTTCCCCTTCCTTCCTTTCTTTTGTCTTGTGCAAAGTTTTGCCGTTGCGTTAATTAAATTTTCTGCCATGGATAATAATGGCATAAATGTCGATATGACTCGTCTTTCTGAATGTCTTTCTGGCTGTCTGCTTGGCTGTCTTTGTTCCTGTCTCTCTCTATCGATCTCTATTGGCAGTCTGTCAGCAGTTTTGCCGCATATTATTTGCCATTGGATCTTTGACTCTTTTTCCACTCCCCTTCTTTTATTATTTCTTTATTGACAGACGCCACACAGTTTGTGGAGGAGCTTCAACGTCATGAAATTTCACTTTGCGGTGTACGAACTGAGGTTGGTGTGAGTGTGTGTGTGTGTGGGGACGTGGGGTGTGAGGAATGTTGTGGGTGCTCTGCAGCAGGCTGGAGTCTGACAATGCAGTTTCGTGAACTTTTTGAAATGCTCTCGAGGATATGTACTGCAATGTGGGTGTATGTGGGTGGGGAATGTGCATGTGTGTGTAAGCAATTGTTGAAGGATTTTTGGCATTTTGGAATTTTGTTTTTATTCTCTCTTGAGTGTTGAAAACTTTTATTTCTGTTCCCTGAATGCTGTAGATTTTAAAGGAGGATTTTTTATTGCTTTTTTAGAGGAATTATTTTGAATTAAGAAATGGCCTAAAAATTAAGGAATAATATACTTTAAAAAAAAATATAAAAAAATAAAATTAAATAGTTTTATTAACAAAAAATAAAAATCAATTGCATTTATTTAAAAAAATTTAAAAAAAAATTAAAATTAAAAAAATAAAAAAAGCACGCGGATGTTACCAGCTTCAGCTCTGCTCTATATTAATAGCCAACAAGCAAGAATGCGCATAATGTGGAGTTAGATATCATAATATATGTACATATCTATTTCCCATTCCCATATCCAAATATGTACAGCTTTTATGCTCCTATAAGTATTTCCACCTCTTTCAAGTGCTTTCAAGTGCCGGCTTCCATTCAAAAACTCGAAATCAATTAATGAAAATAGAAGCAAAAAGCTTAGGGGAACGTCTAACCCACTCTATTCAATAGAGATCCATTCGCATGAGTACGAGTACGAGTACGAGTATTGTAGGGCGTGTTCTATGTTCCCCAAACACAATCCTCACTCATTTCAATAGATAGATAGAGTCATCTGGCATTGCTCTCTCTCTCTGTTTCTATCTCTATCTCTGTGCAAGATTTGGCGCGTGTATTTTGGCGCTTGAGGCGATCCGCACTATAATATTTTTATAGTTATGCTTCTTTGTCTTATCGCTGTGGGTTCGAACTGGGAGGAAGCCATGGGGGGAGGGTGTACCATCACGCTTTTAATGTTATTACATTGGCATGCATGAAGTCTGCTTCTTTGTATTTGTATCTGTCTACTCCCGTCTCTCTTTTGCCACTATTTTTCGGTCACTTGGGTCAATTCCGAGTGCGTGATAAATGGCCGCATTGCGTGGCTCCCGGACTGAAAACATGGGATTGTCTGTCTCTATCTCTCTCTCTCTCTTTCTCCACTCGTATCTGCATCTCTTTCTGTTGTAGTTTTTTCTCTGTGTGTTGTTGTGGTTTAATATTTATGGTCAATGATAAGATTGCTCAATTGGGGTTTCTAAAACATGAGAGGCGTGAGGCATGAACACAAACGCAGCTCTCAATCTTTCTCTCTCTACGTCTCTGTGAGCTCAGAGCTGTTTAAAGTTGATGTAGGTTCAGAAGTTTTATAAGCTGCTTGTGGTTTTATATACGTACATAAAAATATATATATTTGTATTTGTATCGGTTTCAAGCGCATTATGAACTTCCATAAAGCTTAGCCTGATAACAACGGCCACGGCACGGGGCGAAAGTTGGCATCGAGGGAGTGTTGAGTCGGGATACAGATAGCCAAAGGGCTAGCTGGTCTGATGTCTTTTTGGGATTTAGTTTGAGTGAAAAGTTTAGCAAAAGAAATGCGAGTGCCAGAGACATGCAATGGGAATAAGTTGAA